AAAAAAAAAAAAAAAAAAAAAAGAAAAGAAACTATTATTTCCCAAGATCGCGAGTGAAATAAGGAGTAGATTGGTGCAAGGGGGTGTGAATAATTTTCTACGAGAAATAATTATCGGAAACATTACGACGTGATGTTTCTTTTTAATTTCCATATCCATCGTTTGTAACGCAAGAACGATCACGGAACCGTGACCTAGAAAAGTGCGAGATTCAATGCGACTTGCTTGATATTCCCGTGTTTAACGTGCTCATTAAATCCAGCCTCTTTATTAACGGAAAAAAAGAAAATTATCGATCGAAATTTATTACCGATCCCACTTTCTTTTAAAATCTTTTAAAAAATTTCAAATCAAATATTAAATATCAAAGTTCTAAAAATATCATTAAACCTCGCGCACGTTAAATACACGTGACGAAAATTAAACGCGTATGTCACGACCTCTTCATCTAAATTATTCTCCCTAAAATACATATATATATATTTTTTTCGTCGTGCGTGAAGAATCGAGTGTTGTGAGTGGGTTGAGAGATCCGTTGGTCCATTTGTGAGATGGTCGCGAGGAACAGTGTAATAATCGGTTCGCCATGACACCGGTCACAAAGGTTGGCCGGCGACGTTCATCAGCAACACATCTGCGAAACCAGAGTTGCATCAATTAGGAGCCGTTCGACGAGCAATCATGATTCGATCTATCTGCATCAGTTACGCCTTAATCCGGTAAAAGGAAGGGCGGACGATCATTAAATCTCTCCCCATCTCTCTCTCTCTCTCTCTCTTCGCATCTGGTGGTGGTTCGAGAGGTGGCAGAGGTAATTAAACGAAAATGTTGGTAAATTTTGTAAATAGGCAGGGGGAAGGGGGGAGGGGAGGCTGTTATACAACGTTGTATACCAGGAGAGGAACATCCACGTGTTCCGTCGACCCGATCTCCTTTGGAAAACTTTTGTCGGTCGGCGGTTGACGATTATTTCATCTCGTATCGAATCTTTATTAAATTCCAATTGGACTGACTTCTGGAAATTTTGTCGCAAATGAAACGAATTCTCGTTGCGGCTTTATTGAATGTGATATTGATCGCGGTTCGACTTGATAAATTGGATACAATTCACGATCGGGAAGGATGATCCTCGATCATCCTTCGAAGTAGAAATAATAATTTTTTTTTTTTAAAAGTGGATCGAAAGTGGATCAAATTGGACTTGAGTTTGTTGACGTAGAAATTGAAATTGGGATTTTTCTTTTGGAAAAGTTAGAAGGATTGGATCGTTAAATGATGAAAAAAGAATCTTCGAAGTGATAGAGAATGGAGGAAATAGTAAAGAGTTTTGCAATTTTTTCATTTATGGATTTGTGTTAATCGTGTTGGAAATTTCGTGGAAAAATTTATAGATTTTGAGAGGTGAATCGAATCTTCATCCATTGAAGAGGAAGTATCCGTCAATTGTAATTTTTTTTTAACATCAGAATAAAAGATCATTTCTTCCTTTGGCAAAGTTCAAAATTATCTAAAATTTTCTAAATTATATAAAGGATAATAAGTTTTGATAAATTCTGTTGTACAACAATAAGCATGTTTAATAATAAAAGAAAAGAAATTTACAAACCTTTGATTCTTTTTATGTAAAATTATCATAATTCATATATCTTATCAATTCACTATTATTAATTCACAAATTATTGTAGGAAAGTTTAAAAATTTAAAATTAGATGTTGAATAATATTTGAAAGAACAATAGCATTTCTTAAAACATTTTTCATACACATGTATTCTTATCAGAATAAAAATGAAATGTGTATCTTAAATAAGAATTAGAATATAAAAGTTTCTCATATTTTTTCCAATATTATCCAAACTCAAAATTATTACAATACAAAAATTTCAATTCACATAAAATATTATATTACGTTCAATTTTTTTAAATAATTTTTTAATAATTATTCGAATCTGAAAGGATATGTTAATATCCTTCACATAAATTAAAGAAAAAAAAATATCTTGATATCTTCATTATCCACATAATGACATTTATCTTATTTTCTTTAATCTTTTAGATCTCTTTTAAAAGATAACATTTCATCTCTTATCTAAGAGCATTTCGATATTACACATAATTGGTGGTTGTGTAAAGTGAATAACTCTCGTCGTAAATTTCCAACCACTTTAGAGCACTTAACCCCTCAAATTTAGCCTATAATAATATTTTGAACAACCACTTCTACATACCGAGTTTATATTATTTATATTTCTCTAAAGTAAGAAAAA